TCTCTCTCTCTCTCTCTCTCTCTCTCTCTCTCTCTCTCTCTCTCTCTGTTTGTCTGTCTCAGTCTCGTCCATCGCCCGCAGTCGGTGTGTAAACACAAGGGTATTGAACTAGGATCATGCGCTTGTGTCAACGAGCACAATATACACAACACCGAAACCAATATATTGTCAATTTATTAGTTTGAATAATCGCCGACGAGAACGATAACACAACGACAATGATGCAGTGTTAATATACGTGTGGTATATCTGTTTCATATTCGGCCAATTGGTGTGTGAATAACGAGTTCATCGATTAGTCGCACTCTCTGCATGATGATTTCAGTTAGTTGTTAGCACTGTTTTTTGCTTTTTATTTTCTGCGGTTCGGTTCCCCCCGGAACGCATTACACATTATTGCATTGGTGCAGCCAAAATGCAAATCGAAAAACACTCAACCATTCCGACGACGACGACGACAACAACAACAATGGCCAGTGATATTGACTGTGTGTCCATTCTAAATAAATTAATTCTTTTAACCGAACAATACAAGCGATTAAATGAATTGTTGGAGGATAAACAAAATATGCTGAAACAACGTGCAACAAATCTGCGACAACGCCGTCTCAAACACAAATGTGACATGCAAAAAATGTGGATTACTCTGACGCAAATCGAAACTAATAATACACTCGAAGCGCCAACCATGCTAATTGCACCTGCGGTGGCTACGGTCAACACCGAAACCATCTAGTACATTCACATTGAAGCGTTGATTTTTTTCGGTTGTTTTTTTTTAAAGGGAAAAAAATCAGTTGATTAGGAAAAAAAGAAATGATGTAACGATGACGAAAAAAATCCACTTTATTTGATCAATTTTCCACATGGAATTTGAGGTTAGACGAATTTGAATGAGAAGAAAAAACATGAATAAATTAAACACACGTTAAAAAAATAAACGATATGGTTGTTTTATTGTTCTGAATTTGGCATATTGGATAATGAAGACGAATGAAAAGAAAACATCAGCATGTTGTTTGTTTATTTAATCAAAATGATTTTATTTGATCGTAGCTTTGAATAAGTTACATTGGCTGTATGTTCACTTCTTTGTTATTTCTTTAAATATAGTCAATAAAACCTAAGGTGAGCAAAATGGAATGCAATATGATATGATAATGAGGGAAAAAAGGAATACTGCAAACGAAATACGACGAACTAATTTCAAACTATCTAAATATTTAGAAAAAAAAAAGAAATGTTTGAACACCGGAACGTAAGTTAAATAATTTAAATGTGAATATTTTTGTTGTTGCTTTTTTTTTTG